GCCCATCCAAGTATATGGAATCCCTGAAACCCATCCAGAGATGTACTCACAACTCAGTATCATGCTTATACCCATAATTCCTTTGCCTCTTTCTGAAGACAAACACTGTTTCTCCAGTTCACTCCACAACTTATTAAACATCTACCATGTGCAAGATACTACAACATCTGCCCTTTAGAAGCCTACATTCTATTCAGAGGAAACAAACCACACACAACTAAGAAAAGGGAAATCCCTAACAAAAGATGGAGTGGAGGGAGTCAAGGAAAGGACTCTGGAAGGCGCAACATGCGTTGGACCCTGAAAGAGAAGACTCTGAGGAAATGATGAGGAAGGAAGATGAGTATCCCAGCAACAGGCCTGCACAGGCCCAGGCCAGAGAGAAGATCTGGTAACTAATTGGACGTTGAGGGAGAGGGAAGAATTTTTAAATAATTTTTGCTAATAAAGCATGGGGGGGGTTGGCTATGTCAGCATAGTCAAAAGAGGTGATAATGTATAAAAATTATATTATAAAATAATTTTTTAAAACTTTCCTGCTTTTAAGAGCAAAAGACAGCAATATAGGAAACAATAATCTCACAAGGCCACAGATTTTTTAATAAAAGACACTCAGCAAAACAAAAAACAAAACCCTATATTTGCTTCATTATTAAGTATACTCAAACTTCGTACCAAAACCAGAATCAGACACATTTTTAACTAGATAGAAATGGAATTTTTTAGTATAGATTATGACTTTCAAGTTAGAAGTTAGATTATAACAACAGACATCACTGGCATACTACAATGCATGATTTTCTGTGACTAGTATTCTTCACTCAAAAGACCTTCCCCATTGTTGTATTAGGACTACTAGAGTTAGCAGGGGAAGGGAACATCTTTTTACACATGATCTAAGGTCCACAGTGGTAAAGACTGGATACATCATCTTCTGACTCCAATTTCACTGTTCTTTCTACTACCTGGGCTGTGTTCTTTAGCCTACTTATTAAAATAGAAGACCAAAGAAAAGTTGAGAAAATGTTAAAATACATATCTAATATTATCAATCCTACAACAGAGGATTAATTATACAATTAGTAATAGAGGAATCTGATGTGCCTCATAGTATGAGTGTTTTTGGACCGAAAAAAAACTTGAGGTTAAAGTATTTTTGACAGTTTATCCCTATCACCTTTAATAGTTTCTGCAAACTACTTACTTTTCTAGTAGCAAGCATGACATCACTAATATCTGCCATGGTTTAAAGAAAAAAAAAATGGAAGTAGGAAAGATGCAAACAATGAGACTTTGCCCCTCAACCTCGGGGATGCCTGGTGAAATCAACCTGCCTCCATACCCACTATATGTACTGTGGATCTCAAGGCTAAAGGAAGAGGCTGAAAACAAGGGCATCGACTACAAGAGACAGGATGCCAAGGTACACAGGTGATTAGCACAAACATCAGATCCAAAGACACTCCAAGCAGAAGCCAAGGAAGAAGTCACCTTGAGATGCAGAGTTCTAAGGGGCAGGGGACTGAGCTGAGGAGGCACTGGAAGGCCAATACCACGAGGCTAGCCGTGGTACTTCCAGCCTGGATGACATCAGGAGATCCAGTCTGATCAAAGGATGAGGAAAAAACATTTTCAAAAGAATAGAAATGGAACAAATCAATCAAAGAAAAGGAAAAGGAAACAACTCTCATGTTTTCCCTCACACAGTAAAATGAGAGAGAAAAAAGATGTAAGGAGTCAATGTTGGAGGGGTGTGAACCAGCCAGATAATTCTGACTGAGGAGATAAAAACGACTAGCCAGGGAGTCTACCACTGGGCTTATAACCTAAAGAGGTCAAAGACATAAAAAAGACCCTGAATCTTCATAGCAGCCCTTTTTCTTATGGTAGCAAAAACCTGCAAAGTGGGTACTCATTGATTGAGGAACAGCTGACCAAACTGGTGGTACAGAAATGGAATGATTATTACACTGTTAAGAAACACAGAATTCAGAGAAATGGGGAGGCTTATAATGTGATTCAGGCAGAAGTAAGCAGAATAACAGAACAGTATACAAAATTTACCACAATAACACAAAGAATGAGGCTAAAATGAGGCTAGGCACTGAGTAATTATAATGATCAAATAATGGCCCTGGAGAAGAGATGAGGACATACCTTGCTCCTTGCAGTAAAGAGGCAGAAAATCATGTATATACACTATGTGGAATACAGTCAGTCCCAGCCACGTGATTGTGTCAACTGGGTTTTACTGAACTGTTTTCTTTGGCAATAGGGAGGGTTTCCTTCACGGTGACAGTAATGCTTACATGTGTGTATGGAAAGAAGAAGTTTATGTCAAAAACTGCTATTGATAAAAACAAAATGCAAATAAAATTTGTCTAAAAGATTAGAAAATAGGCGATGAGGTCCAATATGATCCAAAGTTTTGGGAAGAAGGATTAAGTAATAACAATTCCTCAACTATTTACACTTTCCATATTGCAAGTACATGGTAGCAACTAAGTCTCCAATGTCTCTGGCTATTCCACAGGGAATTACTTATACATTATAATTGGCAATGTTCTAAGTGATATTTATATTTTTTGCTCAGGTCTTTATCATTTCTAATACTTTCCTATTTAAATTCAATGATTAATCATACACAGAATGCACATTAGGATTATGAAGCTTGTTTTACGAACACACAAAATGAGAATGTATAGAACTGGCACAGAATCAAGGACACAGTACTTGAAGATATATTTATGCATGCATACCTGCAAAGTGTTAGCATTTTTAAAGGAAAGAAAATCTTCATTAAAAGTATATATAAAGTCACATTGACTGATCTACCACAGCATCTTATTACAAACAATGGCATATTAGCATGTAAATGCACTTGTAAATTTATTTAGTGAGAACCTTCCCAGCAGCATTTTTCACCAGAAGATATTTCTGACTTTCTAACCAGCCTAAAGTTTTTTCAAAGGTTAAATGACTGTTTTGCTACTGTTCATAAAATCATAAAAAGACAGCTACCAACCCATCTTGGTGCGCCACCTACACACAACCCAATATATTAGAGATTCCTCCTTGAAGCTTCTGCTGAACCTATGCTGACTACACATTTTCACTAAGGCAGGATCACAGCACATTACTTTAACTATTTCTCCACCACAACATTAATTAAGTGTGATCCAGCATCAACCTCTTGCATCTTCAAACATAAAGACTGCTTTAAAAAAAAAGGGATTAGAGAAAGCCAAAACAAAGCAAAACTGAGCCAGCACAAAGTCTGAAAGATAGTGCCCATGCAGGCTTTCCTGGGCTTCTTAGGTAATCAATCAGAGAGCATGAAGTTCTTCCCTCCCGCTAGTCAAGATTACTACAGAAAAGTAAGGCATTTACGGGCACTGCCCAGACTCTCAGCCAAACACCTCCCAGAATACACCAGGTCCATCAAGACCTCTCCGTGCATGTGCTGACCCAGGTCCTTTACACATTTGTTTGTCCCACCTCTAGCAATATCTTACACAAACAACCTCTTCCTTCATCATTTGGTGGGGGGGGAGAATCCTCTCAATCCATTTGTGAGCCCCGTCCCCCAAAAGGGAAAATGAAGTTCTGAAGTGAAATCAGACATGATAAAGAATAGGAGCAAGCTCAAAAGACCTTGAAAACTCCTTTTTAAAGTCTCCAAGCTTTCTGAAATACAGCTACTTTTTCTTATCCTCCTAAAATGGATAATTTTTTTTAAAAAAACCTTCTTACTGTCTGTTTCTGTAACAATTTTTTGGGGGAGGCTAGGCAATAGGGTTAAGTGACTTGCCCAGGGTCACACAGCTAGTAAGTGTTATGTGTCTGAGGCTGGATTTGAACTCAGGTCCTCCTGAATCCAGGGCCGGTGCTCTATCCACTGCGCCACCTGGCTGCCCCTCTGTAACTATTAATACTGTAATGCTCTCTTCTGCTACTTTTCATCATATATTCCAGCTACATTACTGATTAAATCAGACCCTTGTGGGCTAACCTCCATTTACATAATTGCAACTGTGGGAAAAGCCAACGTGAGCTCCAAGATGGTTTTTAAAACCTAACTAATCCATAAAATTTATAACAGCCTGCATCTGAAGTTCTGAATGGAGGTAATATATCTGCAATACCCAAGTTTGGGCAACAATCAATGCATGATTAATGACATGCAACCAGGTACAAACTGAGCTCATGAACTTCAAAAATGTTAAAGTTAACTGACTTCAGGAGATACACCAACTTTTAACCATTTAATTGATTTAACAAGCCTTTTATTAAGCCAGGCACTGAAGGGCACAAAGAAAAAGGCTCATTCCTAGCCTCAAAGAACTATTTTCTATTGTATCCACCCCAAGGTTATTCATGAGCACAAGTTATTAGATGGACACAAACAATTTTAACACACAGTAATGTTAATTTTATTTAAATGGTTACCACAGACAAGTTATTCCAGAGATCATTCCTGAAACATAAACAGCTCAACGTACAACCAACTGGGAAATCTTGGACAGAAAAAAGAAGGCTTTCTGCCAAAAAACTAGGATCTACATCAATGAATGCACTGAGATAAACAGATTTTAGACTAATTGCTAATCGATTCCTTCCTAATTCATCAAAGGGGTAAGTAAAATATAATAAAAGTGGGCTTTCAAACTACGATTTACAGGTGGTTTAGATAATATAAATGATGCAGGCAACAGCAGATGAAAGAACTGTGAAAATGCTACAGCACATCTTTGGGCTGTGACACAGTAACTTTGGGGAGAGAAAAACCAGCCAATCTCAGTCGCCTGAGCCTCCCTCCAGTGTCCTTTCTCTTCCCTGAAGCTTGTTTGGGTGTAAGTGACTAGTCTGCCCACCCAGCCTGTCACATCTTTTCCCCGGCAGCCACCAGCAGGCTCATGACCGAATCAGCAGCAAGTAAAGCAGGAGAGAGCCAGCTCCACACTGCTCAAAGGCACATGGGACAGGAGGGAGGGCATTACCTTGAACGTTGTATTGGTAGTAATCAGGGTCTTCTGACTCCTCTTTAACTGTAACAGCTGCCATTTCCAATGAAATGCCTTTAAAAACAAAACCAAAAATATCACCAATTTTCAGATCAGATTCCACGATAAGGCGCAATCCTACTTTCTCACAATCTCCAAACCCCAAGGTTGGCTTAACATGACAAAATTAGGATATAATGAAAAGTCGGGTCACACCCTGCTGTTACAGGATTAGAGGTATGCTGGTAACCATAATGTTTGGACTTATGTGCCACTAACAAGCTACCACCTGAAATTCTTCAGTTTTGTCTTAAAGGAAATGAAAAAAAAAAGCTAACAAATCTGGTCAAACTATACACAGCCTATTCAAACAAAAGAGCTCCTTAACAGAGAGAGAAGGTGCTAGGCCCTGCCCATGGTCTAAACCTTCTCCCTCTATATACCTGGACCTTACCCTCTAGAAGCTTCCAGTCTTTGGCACCTCCCTGTCTGTGACCTCAGGGTAGATAACGAATGAGGCCCTTAGCATAGACCTCCACTCCTCCCTACAAAATGAGTGACCACTCCCAAATACGACCTCTCACCCTATTGGCAGAGCTGGGTGTGACCCTGGATATAGCTTCTCCCGAGATCACTGAAAGCAATCCCGTTTCCTTTCCTATGACGTGAAGACCAAGGCTTCCACTATAGAAATGCCACTTTTGGCTGCATATCCTCACTATCCCAGGTCATCCTCCCCCCTACCTCAACCCTTTCCTGACCCCACTGGGTGTTTGCAGCTCAGCCAGTCTCCCCTTGAACACATCCAAGTGTCTGTGGTTTTCATAACTGACGGGCTCATCTTAATTCTTCTATGAAGTCCCAGTAATGGGCCCCCAAACTGGTACCCAGAAGTGTTCAGTTTTTGATCACGTGGACAAGGCCCAAGGCTTCTCTTTCTCCCCTTACTCTTGGGGGACTCTTATTCTCTCTCTTCCTCTGCCCCATTTCTCATCTTTCCAGGGCTTTTTTTCTTTCAACTGCTATATATGGTGCTTGCCTGGGAAAACTTCAAGGATGAGGAGGTGGAGGCCTGCTTAGAGCCTTGGAAAAGAGAGAGGTTCAAAGGCCTTGGAGTTTTCTGAAGAAGCCCTATCGCTTTTTAGCTTAGGTTTCTGGAAGGGGCAGGGAAGAAGAGGGCCTGTTAAGTGAACCCTTCCATAATCTGGGTGGGTCATTCTCTGCCTGTGCCCTCCCTCCAGGCCCTGGAGGAACTCCAGCCCCCTTCCAACTTTCCACCCCACCCCAAGGGGCAGGTCTCTCAAGTAACAAACTGCTTGAGGGCAGGGATGTCCCAAAAGGAAGTACTTCCAATCACCAAGGCCCAGATTAATGAATGCCTCTCAATTCATGGTGTCCCAGGCCCACCAGCCACCCAGCCCAGCTGGCTAAAAGGTGGGGACTTAAAAAGAAACTCCTAAAGAAAACTAACAGTTTTAAAACTAGTAAATACCTCTATTTTGCCATTAAATTTGTCTAAGACCCGGAACCCTCTAGTCCTCAGAAAGATTAACAAATGTCCCTCAAGCAAGAGGTCTGAGGTCCCAAGGCCAGTCACTGCTAGAATGCTCTCTGGCACCCCGGCACCTCTTTCCACTGGTATAACTTCAAGACTGAGTAACAGACCTGAGGGGGCACAAAACCACCCCCCCCAAAAAGGCTCTCTCCCAACTTTAAAGCTACCCCTCCATAAACAACTAAGGACCCACCATACCCCCAAAAGCAATCTTGAACAGTGAGGAATTGGGGCCCATAGTCATTGACTTACTGACCTCTGTTTATTATTTGGTATTAAGTTGAACTTTCCAGGTCCTGAGGCAGCCTGCTCTAAAATGTCACCTCTTCCCTAACTATACCCTTGGCTTCTGGATCTTTAATGCCTTAAGATTCTAGACTAGAAATTTCTCGTTTCCTGGCACCTACCTGCTGTAACTTCAGAGGGAAAATGTTTCCCTTTGAAAGGTCTCAGCTTCCCTGGTGTCATGAGTGAAGATAGAAACAGGAATCCTAACAAGAGCTCCGGGTCATGGTCTGCATGAAGACCATCATGGTGGACCTGTTGTTTTCAGGATCTTTAAGCCTCTTTTGAAGACACAGAAAGTTCCCGGAACCCAAAAGACTCCCAACAAGTACCCAAAACACAAAACCAAAATAACTGCTTAGAATGATACAGAATTTTTCTTTAATTAAAGTGAGAAACTCACTTCCCCAGCAGAAACTACTGGTACACTCCTGATCCCATGTACTTTATCATTTCTCCAACTCTTCTGAAAATTCTGTTGCCAATACAATGTTTACTGACCTCTGTCCCCCTCCCCAGACTCAAGGACTTTACAGGTCTCTCACTACATCTCTGTAGAGTACATGTATGCTTGCTGCAGTGGAAAAGAAGCTGTGGCGCAAAGCCCGAGGATTACAGGGCTGTGGAGCCTCTGAAACGACTAGGCAGCCAGCATGTGTCCTACCCTATGAAAACTGCCTAAGATGACACTGTTACCAAGGGGGCACAAAATCTGCTCAAACTTAATTAAATATTTAAGAGAGAATCCTCAGATAGGACTAAACTACTTTAAAATGTGGTAGAAATTATTAAAAGAAACTATGACAATGATCTTGATTCCCAGCCAGTGAGTGAGAAAACACTAGGAGCTCTGACATTTAAAGTCCGAATATTTCAGAAAGAAAAATGAAAAAGCAAATCATCTTAATTTTGCAATACTCTATAAGGTTAGAATAAAACGATGGGTTGAGGCAGAAGGAGAGGCGCTTGTGGGTTTGGGTGTATAACTATACACACACACGAATAACAGAGAGCTGACTTCTAAAATACGCTAGATGCTACTGCTGAATGACTTGATTCCTGTAAATTGAACAATCATTTATTAACAAGCATTTAGTGTACAGGGACTAAATTGTCTCTCCAAGAATCTTTTATTTCGTATTCAGGGGTATTATTAAATTGAAATAAACTCAATCTGTTTACCAGAGAATGCTATTTCAAAGGTGTACAAAGATGCATTTGAATATATTATTTATATCCTCTTAATTGATTTATTTGGCAAAAAAAAAATATGTGCAGAACCTCTGCTCTCAAAAGAGAGCATCAGGGAAACAAAACCAACACGGAGAGCAGCCAGAAGCACAAACAGCAGGACTCCAAGGATATCCTATCGATGGTGCAGACTAAGATATTCAATCACAGAGATGCAGAAACTATAGTTAAAGTAATGAGGCTGGGGGTGCTACACTTCTTTCTTTGGGAGGGTTTGGGGAGAACAAAATTTTTGTTATTGGGAACAAAATTTTTAAAGGACAAAAAGGAAAAGGCTTGGCAGATGGGAGGAGGCAGACCACTACAGCCAAGTGGAGGGTGCTGAGAGAAACTGGCCTAAGAAGGAGGTGGGAAACTAACGAATGCTGTTCTGTAGAGTTGGAAGGACACTGGGTCAGTGCAGGCAAAACAAATGTGCGCTTCCACTGAAATCCTGACAGGAACACAACAGTCCCCAAGATGTTGTGCAGGCAGCAGCGGCTGGGTCTAGCCTTAGATAAGATAGGGGTGCAAAAGGACAGGGAGTCCAGGTAGAGCTCAGAGAACTGCCCCAGATCACTTCTTCCAGGAAAAGAAAGCAGAGATGTCAGCTTTCTGTGGCCAAGTTTGGCTCTGGGCCTCTAGAAATTTATACAGAACTGTCCCTAACAACAACAACGTTCTGAAATTTTCAGTTTTGAGGTGCTTCAATGAAACCACACAAACATAAATTTGTGATTCCCAATACCTGCTCTATTTTAAGAACTATACTGAACCATTCCCAGAAGTATCATTATGTGAAGAGATTTTGCCAGCTTTTGAAAAGTTTTTAATAATTGTGAAAAACAGTAACAAATTAAATGACATTAATTGAAATTTTTTTCATAAAAACAAGGAAAAATAATCAATTCAATGAGCTCTCTCTTTTGAAAAAAAAAGTATTAAATTTGTATTTCATCACACAACTACGTGAGTGACCTGGGGACAAGGTGATTGTCCTCCCAGTCTCTGCAGTAGTCAGCGAGCTTTTGGGGAGGGGTCTGTGACCATGGTCATTGAAGAGTAATATTTATTTGCTTCTTTACCAAATTAAACCAAATGCTAAACAGAAGGTTGAAGGGCAGATAGCGGGTGCAGTGGATAGCATGCCAGGCCTGGCTGGAGCTAGGAAGGCCTGAGTTAAAATCCAGCCTCAGATACTTACTGTGTGACCCTGGGCAAGTCACTTAACCCTTTTGCCTGTTTTCTCATCAGTAAAATGAGCTGGAGAAGGAAATGGCCAACCATTCCAGTATCTCTGCCAAGAAAACCCCAAATGGGGGCATGAAGAGTGAATGAATATGGCAGAACAACAAAACCCAATTTGAATGGGTTTTGAAAAAGCTAAAGGATCAGAATGTTAAGATTAATAAAGACACAAGCTAAACAAAAGCAAAATGGCCCCTCAATTATATAGCTTAGATGCTGTTCATTTTTTAAATGTTTTGGTTCCCTTACACTCCTAAGTTCTTATCTAAGGAACTCCTTCACAAGAAGTCCCTTGGCTGGATTCACAATTTAATCAGCAGAGAAGCCTTCAAGTCTGGGCAAACCAGAAGCGCCTCAGCACATCATTCTCCAGGGTTTTCCCACAGCCGCAAAGGGCAACAAGACTTTCTTCTCCTAGTGTGCAGCTAGTATCAGGGAGGTGCTGCAGCAGCACCTAAACTAATCCTTCTCCCCTGTGTGGAGTTCTTGGCAAGCAGTACTAAGTCCTTAATGGAGGTCCGGCCATGTCCACTAAGAACGACAACAGGCTGAGGCCTACTATCTTTTCATTTCCCTTTGGGCTGTCTTTTTAATTCTTCATCCACGCTACAATTCATAGCCATCGACAAAGAACAATGAGAGCACAAACAAGATTGGGCCTACAGTGTCGAAGATTCTGGGGAGCCTGGCCCCACTTTCCCCATGTCCTTCAGTCTCTCACCTTCTTCAGCTTCAGAAGGCAATCAGGCCCAGATACTCAGCCTGGTGAAGCATTTGTGACCAACTGCCTGCACGTCATTCAAGACACAAAGCCTTTGGACGCATTTTTGCTGCTCTAATTTCTGGGGCATTCACAGAATTATAGGACTTACAGCTGGGGAGGGCTGATATCCTCCAGCTGAGGGGTTCTTTAAACTTTTTTTACATCCTTTGGGCCTTTGGGAAATCTGGTGATATTAATGGAACCCTTCTCAGAATGTTTTTAAATGCATAAGCATAATACATAAGATTGCAAATAAAGCCAGTTATACCAAAATATACTTATTGAAATATTTTAAAAGACAAATTCACAAAATCCAATATTAAGACTCCCAAGTCCCTCATTTTACAAATAAGGATACTGAGGATCTACAAATTAAATTCCTTTGCCAAGGTCACACAACAGAAGAGCCGAGATTTGAACTCTATGTTCTAGAGCTAAATGCAAGTAGTCTGCAAATAGAAGCTTCAGGAAAACATCATCCAAACTTTTGGGATCCTTTGGTTTGGGATTTTACCCATCTTCTGCAACACTGGGAAAATTGGTTACGCTTCCTCTGGGAAGCCATGTTATTTATGTCTTACATGGAAAATAGTTCATTCTCCTTCATGAAAGGCTCTTCACCTTGTTTGTGTCATGAGCCCCCTGGCAGCCTATTAGAGCAGCCTTCAGAGAAATGTTTTAAAATGCTTGAAAGAAATGCTTAATTTCAGTGAGAAAATAATAAAAATTACATCCAACTTTACAGACCATGGACTCCAAGAGAAAGATCCTGGCCTTAGGAGGAGGCTACAAATAAATATGAGATTTTACATCTCCTGTTCCTTCCTCCACTTGTGGCTGTAAAATGTGACCACCTCCCAGTCACTACCTCCTCCCATTCTGGAGCTGTTTTTAAAGAAATGTCAGCAGTAGCGAGAGTTGAGGTCTTCCTCTTTCTGTTGTGTTTTTTTTTTGAAGTGCCAATCATGATCTTTCCTTTTTCAGAGAACCTTGGCCTCTGATACATCTTCAGAATTGATCCTGGAGTGCCTTCTGAGTTGCCAACACAAGTTGGCCAATTGGCATCTGCTTGTCCCAAATGCCCTTGGAATATTCTGGCACGGATGGGCCTCACAAGTCCCTACTAGTTCATCTTCCTGTGTGTTTTGCCAATGACTTTGTACTTGGAGAGCAGCAGGGTTATTCCGGGAGCTCACCTAGGGTATGTCATTGTGTGGGTCTGCAGGGTTAAATTTCCTTAGGAAATGCTGACTGTCAGAGTCCCCTCATTTCTCCACTTACCATTTTTCAGAGTCAGACGCTTAACAGAACAGGTCAGATCATGCTGGAGATGGACCACAGAATCTCAGGGCTGAAGGAACTAGAAAGAACATCTATTCCAACCCCCTCAATAACCTCTACCTTTGGAAAGTGGGAGGAGGTCATTGAACCTCTGCCTGGAAACCTCCAGGGAGAGGAAACCGCCTCCCCCCCAAGACAGCACACTCCTTTTTGGGATCGCTCTAATTGTTCCTGGTCTTTCCTCTCTTCTGTAATTTCCAAGTGTCTTCTGCCTTCTCACGTTCACCTGCTGCCTAATTTGATGTGTAGTCTGACCTCTGTCTCACCCAGCCCTGCTGACCCCAGGCAGACTCTGCAGTGATGACTTCTCATGCTCAGCACCACAGACTGAATGTCAGGAGGGTCCTCAGAGACACTCCGGTCCAGGGATCAGCAAACTACCCCTTTAAAAATGTAAAACCAGGCTGTGTGACCCTGGGCAAGTCACTTAACCCCATCACCTCACCAAAAAATAAAAAATAAAAAGAAATAAAAATGTAAAACCAGGGCAACTAGGTGGCACAGTAGATAGAGCACCGGCCCTGAAGTCAGGAGGACCTGAGTTCAAATCTGGCCTCAGACCAAACACTTGTGACCCTGGGCAAGTCACTTAACCCCAACTGCCTAAAAAAAAAAACATAAAACTTATTCTCAGCTCTCAGCAGTCAACAGGCTGCCATTGGCCCTCACCATCCCCTGCTCTAATCCAAACTCCTCAATTTATAGGTGAGTAAACAGGTGCAGAAAGGGGAAGCAAATTAGCTATTAAGGGCAGAATGTGGGATCCAGACCACGTCCTGTGTCTAATTCCAGTGCAAAACATTCGATAACGTCTCCCACACTATTCTACTAGAAAAACTGGAGAAATAAGCTATAACAGAGAACAACGATATGGACCTGAAACTGTTAGAATGGTCCAAGAGAAAGCTTCATTGGTTCCATGTTGACTCAGCAGAGGTTCTCCAACAAAAAGTCCCAGGAGTCTGTGCTTGGTCTTCCGCTGTTCACCCTTTTATCAAGGCACAGAGAGGGTGCTCAACAAACCCACCGATGACAAAGGCCTGGAAAGCTGAGCTGCAACACTCAACAACTGGCAGGCAGGTTTCCAAAAGGTCTTGACGACTTCCGACAGGAGATTTAATGGAAGATGAGGAGTTATAGGGATGAATGCAAGGTTTTACACATTGATCTGAAAAGCAAACTTCTGATGTCCAACACGGAGGAAGCCTGGCTACAGATGTGGGGCTTGGTGGCTCCAAAGTCAATAGGCCCAGAAAGCTAACAGGATGCTGCCCAAGACTGCATTAAACGAGCTGGAGCTGCCAGGAGTAAGGAGGCAGTGAGTAGTCCCAGTACCCCTGGCACCAGTCCTGCCAAAGTGTGACAATTACTGTGCCCAGTTCTGAGCAGGGCATTTCAGGAAGGACATTCCAGAAGGGCAACTAGCATGTGGAAAGGTCTCAAGTTTATTCCACTTGGGCAGCAGTAGAAGAAACTGAGGATAAGGGAATTAGGAAAGACTTAGGGAGAAAGCACACCTCTCTTCAAGTATCACTGCACAGAAGAGGAATTGTATTAGCTCTCTTTGGCCCCAGAAAGAAGAACCAGAGGCAGCACAAAATAATGGAGAAAACACTAAGCCTGGAATTAGGAAGACCAGCATTCAAATCCCCTGTCAGATTACTCTGTGACCCTGGGCAAGTCACTTAACCTCTGTGGGCATCCATTTTGTCGTTAATAAAATGAGGCAGTTGGATCAACGGCCTTTAAAGTCCCTCCAGCTCTAAAGCCATGATCCAATGACCTAGGAGTAAACATCCCGCTAACTCCAGTTATCCAGAAGTGAGACGACCTGCCTCAAAAGTAGTGCTTCCCTCACCAGAGGTCTTCAAGCCAAGGCCGACTGACCATCTGCTATATTATAAGGAGCATTCTTTGTTAGGTAGAGGTAGGACCAGGTAGCCAAGGAGGTCTCTGTCAACTTAGAAATTATGAGACTGCATTTCCTGCCATATCCTTATCTTTTTCCTTAAAAAAGTATGGCCAGATAGGAACTAGGCCAGTAAGGTCACGAATTAATAATTCATTTATAAAATTATGAGAGAGAAGCAGGCACACCAGCTTCCTTGGGTACTCACCAGGAAAGATCACGATTGGCAAAAGTGGTTCCTGGGCATAGGGTAGCGTGAGGGCAGGGCACAGGGTGGGGGGGAGGGAGAAGCAGAGTGCATTACGCACAAAGCAATGGTTTTGGGATGGGAGCTCTCAGCAGCACAGACCCAGGGAAAAAGGAAGAGGGCAGGCATCAGAAGTTTGAGGGTTTCGGGGAGAACAGACCAATGCCTATCTGGGCCACCTTGGGCTTAATTCATTAACGTGCCCAAATATCTCAAAGTGACTGGTAGAACTTCAAAGTTACCAGCTCCTTTTGGATATTCTGCTGATCTGTCTGGAGCTGTGGAGGTATGGATTTAGTACGGAATTTACACAGCACAGGACCAGAACCCTGACAGCAGACCTAGATGGTTCTCCCCAATTTGGCACATATTACCAGTTGTCAATTTTGGTTAACAAATGATACAATTTGTAAATGATGCTCCTCTGATCTTTAGGATGGTCTGTGCATGACTTTGAGGTTCCCCTTCATAATCTTATTTCCTGCTCAAACTTACTGACTAGAAGTGAGGGGGACAGAAGAAGAGGACAGAATAAGACACAATTTTAACCAGAAGCTAGAATCAATCCAGGATCACTTGGAAGGCAGCTGGGTGGCAAAGTGGACAGAGTGTCGGGTGTTTGTGATTCTGGGCAAGTCCTGAACCTCCCTCAGCCACTGCTCCCACATCGATAAAAAAGGGCTGTTCAAATCAAATCCAAGTAGGTAATGCATATAAAGCACTTGCCAACCTTAGCCTCCCATCAATGTGAGCTGTGATTTCTTAATTTTAAAATGATCCTTCTGAATCCTACCTCTGACCCACCAAGTGTACATCGGGTCATCTGTTCTGATTATTTCATACTTATGAAATGCTCCTACTTACCACCAAATAAATGCATACAACCATAGCCCTTCCTTTGTGTGAAGAGAGCTATGAAAGCATTTAGCTTTCTATTTTACTTTTTAAAAATCCTAATTAATTATACATACCAGAATCTTCAGTCGGCTCGGTTTTCACTTTGATAGGACAACTAAAAGAAAAGAGATACGGTAAAAAAAAAAAATAACACATGCTTCTATGCTGAAACAACTGCAAGCAACCTTGCTGGTACTTGGGGACCAGCTACACTGGATTGGTCACAATGGTGCACAATGCCTGAGTCTGAATTTAAAAACTAACCTGCGAGCATTTATTTACTGGATAAATATTCTCCATGAAAGGGTAGCAATGTCATTTCCCCCAAATGTAATGTTAAAATCTGTATACATCTAAAGCGCCTTTCTAACAGTGTTACAAAAAAAAAAAAAGAACCACCATTCTTCCACTCTTTTGAGTTTTGAGTAAATAACCCTTACCTTCCACCTGGGGATGATATTCTCGAGCGTTCCGAGTCAGTGACAGATACACGACCACCTGGAAGGGAAAAAGGAGTTACACCATACTGCCATGAAATAGACTTTAAATTTCCCAAAGCACCTGACATTTCTTAAGAGATATCAGGAAAACAAGAAGAAGGTAAACATATTTTGTAGATGAATGACAGAAGCAAAGTTAGGAGTTGAAATTCTAATAATCCCTAACAACTTTTTGTATTGCCTGCCTCTACACATTTCTGAATTCCCATGCCTTTTCATGGCAGTGGCATTTCAAACAGAACCTGAGAAGCTGGAGAACATACTCCTTACAGAGTCATGAAAAGACAAGTCAACGCAGCAGCAGAGGGACCAATCATTCCTGGATGTGGCTACTAATGGTCTAACAACAGATGTGACTTACGGCTCCTCCCCCCATGACCAGACAGCCTAGCATTGCAACAAGTACACGCTGCAAACCTCTCTTTTCCCTCTGAACTCCAAGGGTAAGAATAAGCAAGAGTGAAACCTCCCTCACCCATAAGACACTGCAGCAAGAGATTACTCTGCCAGGATAAAATGTCGTCATAGTGAGAACAAGAAAATGAAAGGTTACTCTGTTCCCTCTCACTTACAGCTGCCTTTCCTTACAGATTTCTTACTAGGCCTTTCTTAAGCTCCTTTATGACATCAGTTTAAAAGTAATCTGATCACCATCTTCAGAGCTTCAGACCTAAGTAGAAAAAAGCTTACTTAAAATAATGCCCTGAAATCCCAAGAGTCCAAAGCTCTTCCACATCCAATCTCTCCTCTCCTCCCAACATCTCTGAGAAGCAGGGGAGGTTTAGGAGAGCCATTTTGTTAGGGGAGACATGGAGGGAGAGCCGTCTTGCTGGAGAATCCCAAGGGAAGCAGAGCTGCCAGGAAAGGGGGCCTCAAGTTTCCGGATCGTCCAGCCTGTGCTCTTCCTACCACCTCTGCAAACAGGAGAATCCCCCAGCGGCAGAGACTTGCAAATAGCTTTTTAAAAGCGAGAAACCAGAAACTGGATGAAGAAAATCATGGGGCTGATTTGGTGCCCAGATTAACAACCTTCTAGGAGTAAGGAGCCACTTACCCAGCTGCTTCTTTGGCTCCAGGAAAGGTCTGCATGAAAATAAAGAAAAACCATCACTCAACATTATTCACGCGGCTATATACAACTGGCCTATAAACTGAACATCATTACCAATGACAAGAAGCTGTGAGAAAGAGCCAAGAGAGGACCCTCCAGGAGAGATCTGTTCTCTAGCAGGGCAATGGCAGGTCAGAGGCCTGCTAGAGAAGAAAGCACAGTTACCTCTTGATGATGAAAGAAATCCCAGCCTTGTTCTCCAAAATCCACTTCAGAGTGGTGACATCATAGTTTTCTGGATGCTTGAAAGCCACTCCCTCAGGAAGGCCCTGCACCACCACGGCAGACTGGTCCCTCAGCATCTTCTCATACGGAACAGGCACCACTGTGGACTTGCCTAAGGCTTTACCTAGGGGCACAAAAAGGGACAGGGACCATAAAGACCTAGCAGATGAATTCCAATGTCTGCAACATGTGTGCATGAGGACACTCAGAAATCATGGAAATGCCCCACATCCTCAAACGACAACTTGACTGTCAGACCTTTCATTGTAAAACCACCTCAGAGCTGAAGGGGAGGGGAGCAGCGCTGATATTCTCTTTGCCCAATGGGGCAGTCAGACCCACTGAACGATACCTCAGGCTGGGCCTCATCGGCCACTTCTGCTGGGCCCCTGGGAAACAAAGGCATGCCAAAGCAGACACACTTCCAAGTATTAGGTGGTTTTAAGCCATTTTTCTCTTACCCAAAAAACTACTGGTAAACATGCCCTACAGCTGAACAATCAACTTCCTAACATGCTCTAGAGCCTGATCTGGACTTGGAATCCCATTCCCCAGAGGCAGGTTTAGCATTCAGCCACAGCAGACATGGGATTTATACGTACACTCCCACATAACTCTCCTCCAAACAACAAACCTAGGCTAGCCACTTGCCTGCCTTGCTGGGGGCTTCTCATGCCACGTGACTGGCTTGGCCAAAGTCTGGACGCACAGTTTCATCCTTCAAGCAAACAACAGATACCTCTAAGAGGTGCTTTGCCTAGCAACATGGAACCCCAAATAGCAACAACGACAAGGGCGGAAAACATTATTGTTTATTGACTAGGGAAGGCACAAATCTTCCATGACAGCATAGAGAGCAAAATCCTTTCTTCCTTAAGACTGTTTAGTCCAGTACCTACAAATCAATCTCTTAAAATGTTTTTTTTACAAAGTTTACAAGATAAACTGAATAGTTAAAAACAAAACATCTTAAAACAGCTGCCCACTAAGTAAAACTGCCTGTGCCACGGGCTTGCTGTGTTCAGAGGAACAGCAGAGTTGGTTAACAAATGACCATTAGAAGGGCTACTTGGTGTGTACTTTACCATAGCAAAAGCAGAAATAGTCCTCCACTGTTTTTCTGAGAGTTTCAATCTCAACAGCATCGACAGTCGTCCTATTCGGGTGGGATGTGGCCCTCATCTTGTGAAGCTCTGCGGCCTTTTCACCTTCTGCGACACCTGCAATGACATAGGAAGATCAAAATCTCCTTGTTCACATTTTCACTGCGATCCAGTCACTAACATCTCAAATGGGGGAGGGGAGACTGGGGGAGAGGGAGTGGGAAGGAAAAAAACAAACAGACAACAGTGAACAAAAGTATGACTAAAAGACGGTGAAGAAGATCACGGCAGCAATCATCTTAAAATCCATAAACTACAATAAATATTTAAGGAACACAGAGAAATGTTATGAAGAACAGAGTTTGGCAATGGAAAAAGATGTACAGAAAGACTTTCCTCACGGGATCCATTCTAGGCCCTAACAGGCCTCCTCAAGAATTCTGTACCATAATTATTCCTGCCAGAAAGTAGCGTTAGGATAACATGCACCTTCATTGGTCTCTTATGGTCAAAATAGAAATTAACAAAGAAACTAACATACAAAGAAATTATATGCCCAATAATTGCATTGAATAGTCCATGACAACATATATTCTAGAGTGTTTCTCTATGGAATCTAACTACCAGTAAGTGGAAGAAACCATCAACGCCAACAAATAGACAAGGAGTCAAATATGCAAAGAAGAACAGCTCTCTCAATGCTTCTTTCTCAATTCTATTTTTTTTCTTCTTTTTTTTTGGCAATTGGGGTTAAGTGACTTGCACAGGGTCACACAGCTAGTAAATGTCAAGTGTTTGGTCTGAGGCCAGATTTGAACTCAGGTCCCTCCTGACTTCAGGGCCAGCGCTCTATCTACCTAGCTGCCCCTTCTTTCTCAATTCTAATGAGTAGAAGAATACATAACTACCTAGTAATAAAGGAAAATAATGTAAACACAGATACCAAGAGGAAAAAACCTATCTCTGTGGGTTCAGATGGCAGATGACATCAACACTAAAAATGCATATATAGAAACCATAAGGCCAAAGTATCTCCCCGACCCTAATCATATCACAAGCTACTATTACTGGCAACATCATATGCTAATATGCTACTCAGAATTCTTGTTAAATTCTGTAAAAAGGATTATAGGGCTAGCTATCCAATTAGCCATGGGCACTGATGACCTGCTAATCTTAAGTCATCAATTAGCTACTCTCTTTACTGTTTGACAAGATGTCTCACACTGGATTCCCATCCCTGATAATGGAGAGATAGCCCAGTCAGGTAGCAGAGGTAGGCTGTTTTATATGCCAGACACCCCCTATCACAAATTGTTTTCTTCCTTCCCTGGTTTCAATAGAACTCTCTATCAGTCAGTACTTGGTAGGATGCTCTCCTTGTACACAATTTACACAGAAAGAAGGGAAAACTACAAAAACATATATATAGCAGTTCTCTCTATCCTATGGCATATTGTAAAACTTAGGTTTGCCTTAGGAAAGACACCTCTCTGCCTTACCCTAAAGCTGTTTCATACGCTAACCCAGCATACAGTCTTAAACCCATGTAACCCTTTCCTTTAGACCGTTCAACATTCATCAGTCTCCTAACACCCAGAATTTCAGTCATTAGCCATCACGGTACTCTCTGCTGAGCTGAAGGAGTCAAGTATGGACAATCTTTTAAGTATGAATGCTGAAATCCACCATCTATGAAGTACAAGAGACATTGGATAAGCACTTACAATATTTTACAAAATCCTTCTGAAAATCTTTCCTGGTGTTGACAAAAGCCCGTCCTCGCTCAGTGCCAACAACAAAAACATCTGTCTCATACACAGCAATGCAGGCTACTTCTGCCTTTGATTTGGCAAGTTCTTTACACTAAAACAAAAAAAAAATAAGTCTCAGATAAAAATCGTACACACATACACAAACATAAACAAGTGTTATATTTAATGAATCACAAAAAACTAGATGATTCCCAGCAAATAATAAGGAGAGTATTATATGTTCAAGGAAAAGTGGCTACTTTCTACCCATGCTTTTATGGCCCACAGGAGTGATTTCAATCCTTTTGGATTGGGACATGCTAATCACTTTTATTCCATATCCAAACCACTACTGGAACATATTAATTTTTAAAAACTGAAGTGAATAATTTAAAAAGTGGATTTGACATATATGAAATTTTATTCTTTTGTGCATACCTAGACATCCCTTTAGAGTTAACTAAGCCATGGCTAGGAGTCACTTGATCTCAAATGATGGCAACCATGTACCTACACGTACCTGACTATTACTCTTAATTCATTCTAACAATGTAGACTTCAAAGGTACTAACTATCAAAAGAAGCTGTGCTTTAAACTGTTATCCCAGTCGTGGCACGGTCATCACGCAGCCATACTCTCATTCTGTCCACATTCAGGAAAAACTAGAGCGTGTTGGGCCAGTTCAGTTAGCAGTAGAAACCTGTGCTCACAGAGTATTTCCCAGGACAAAGCCAGGTACCGGTGAATGTGAAAGCTTGGCTTCAGAGGAACACTGCTTTAAGCACCCGAATGAAGCAGCGATCACAACCCTCAGTCAAAGGTATTCAAAGGGCATCTGATTCAGATCTTCATCTTCTAAATGACTGACATGGGAACAGTGATCTTATCCTTTCTTTGAGGACAACTGAAGGAATGCAGGCAGAGAACAAAAGGGGTGGCTTGTCCAAGGTCCTGGGATGAGGACAAGACTGCTCCAAGAAAGACTCCACCATCCATGCCTTAGGACCCAAGGATCCTAACACCTACGATAATTTTGTGAACAAGAGCATTTTATAAAATTACCTTCATTTCTACAGAATTGCCAAATAGCCCTGTTTCAATTAAAGTAAACCACAAATAAGGTTCACATTATATTGATAAAACAGAAATCAGTAGCATTCTGAAGGAAATGCTGTTACAACTTTTTAAAAGCTTTTTTTTTTGACAATTTAGCTTGAGAGATATATTATGCCATAAAACCTGGAAAAAGAAACCAGATGAATCAGAAGGAATATGGAATCAGACTGTTGTATAATATCTTACAGCCATATAGCTTAGGGCCACTCATGTTAGTTTACCAACAGTATCAGTACAAATGATTAAACCTGATCCTTTTTTATTCTGAATCAACTATAATTTAAGTCTGTAAGACATCACAATCAGATCACGTACTATCCTAGCATAATGTGCACGATATAGAAGGCAGGGAGGAAATGTTTCATCAACTTGTTAAAAACTTTAATTATACAATGTGATTGAGTGGTGGGTTATTTTTTTAAAATGATCCTGAGAAATAATGCAGAAATTTAACCATTAACAACACATAATTTAATCATGTTGAAAGAGATGATTTCAAATAAATCATGAAAAAATGGACAGATGAGAAATACTACCATGCCATGCTATACAAATTCATTGATTCTACAACAATTTTAAATACAAATTCAAAGTTAGCATAAAGGTGGATTCACCACTTAAAGTTTAGGGAAACTTTCTCAATCATGTCAATAACGAAATGAGTACTAAATTCTAAAAAGTAAATGAATGTACATGTTTTAAAAAAAAAAAAAAACACCCTCATTCATTGCCAAGATCACTGCACCCTTTGGAAAAAGACAGAATCCAGCAATGAAGCTCAAGTGGGCTATCAAGCAGCTGTGCTACTGGATTTCACAAAAACCCAGTCTAATCCATGACCTAAGTGTCATGAGACATGATCACCCCAATACGTTTATAAAGGTAACTAACATTAGTTCCATCTTACCATTGACTCAAGGGCAGACATGAGGAACGTGACCACCATTCTGCTCTCTGAAGATTCCTCGTCATCAACTGACACTGTAGACATTGCAACTTGCGCCATGATTCCTGAAATGGAAACAAAATGGGGAACTGAATAAGAAAGTTTTTAATTATGGAAGAGACAGGCTCACTCTTAGAAACCATTCTAATACCATCGTTTTACACATAAGGAAACTAGGGCCCAGAGAGAAGATATCACTTACCCCAAGTTCACACAAGGAAACTGTCACAACCCAAAGAACCAGAGGGAGCTCTCTGCATATACAACACTGCCTCTCAGTCTCAATCCAGGAAGCAATAACAATGTCCCAAGACCTGTTTTACTTTCCTTGTAAGGGAGGACAACCCATTCCTTGTTCCCTACTGAAGGCTCAGTCATAATTTAGGGGGCACCCTGTTCCACATTCCAGACTCAAAAGAAGCAACAAATTCTCCTTTCTCCCAATCTACCCAGGAACCAAAAATGGAAAAATTGTCACTGAGCTTACAGCTTTCACTGCCACTACTCAGTCAATTTTAGGCAAGATTACAAATACATGCACCACATCTGAGGTTACTGTAACAGGCCTTAGGGAAAATTCAACAGACAATAAAACACCCAGATGGCTCTCCAGCCCCATACTGCTACTCTGCAAACCAAACTTTTATGAATTTATCCAACTTCTAAATGGCCTAAGAGTTGGAAAGGCCCTTAGAGGTTCTCTAGTCCAACTCTCTGATTTTACATATGAGGAAATTGAGGACTAGAAAGGGGAAATGACTTGGTTTGGTTCCAACTTTTTCTCCCTATCAACAAATAATGAAATATTCATATGAGACTTAAAACTTATACATTCAAATCTGTATAATTTTGTCACATATAAAACCATAAATAACATTATATATAGTAGAACAACCTTAAGAAGCATTCTGTTTCACAAAGCAGGATTCCACTATAATAGCACAGATGACATCATTTGATTAAGCATTTATTAAATGCTTAAAATGTACCTGGCACTGTGCTAAACACATTACAAATATAATCTCATTTGATTCTCACAACGACCCTGTAAGGTAGGTGCTATTATTATCCCTATTTTACAGTTGAGGAAAACTGAGGCAAAAAGCTTTTAAGTGGCTTGCCTGAGGCCATACAGCTATTCCATGTGTAAGACTAAATTTGAACTCAGGTCTTCCTGACTCCAGTCTAGGCCAAGAGTTCTAAACGCTGTGCCAGCTGGAGGAGAGCAGAAGGAACCCTCGGGGAATGCCTTCCATTTTTTCAGTGAAGTATGAAGAGGGGTTCTTAGGAATGCTGTGAAAGACTTAAGAAGAGCTGCCTGGGTAGGTCAGTGAAGGTGACCTGATTGCCCAAGGGGTGGAGAAAGGGAAGGGAGGAGAATGTAGCCAGAAAGGGGATGGGGGGGCACGCAAAGATCACACTGAAGATGAAAAGTAGGGCATAGAACAGGATGGAACAGTAAAAGCTTACCATCAAATAAAGGAACTGTGGAGTTTGTGAACGTGGAAGTGGAACACTTGGGAGGGATGACAAGATCAAGGAAGTAGCCCTATTTTTAAAGCAGGTAAGCGTCACCAAATAAATGGAGCTTGATTGGAAACCCTTTTGAAACAGCCAAACTACTAGGAAACCTGTTCATGCTTTTTCTCTCCTCCACCCACCTCCTAGCAGGGGGAAGGCCAAGGTCCTCGTCTCTTCTCCCCAATCCCTTCCATTCACCCCCAAATTCCTGCTCAGTCCACTTTTTTGCATCTACTTCCTTCTCTCCACACACAGGGCCCTCACCCTAACTCAGGCTCTCCCTGCCCGACACGGTCTACCCACTTCCAATTGCACTCCTCCCCATCTACTTTTCACATAGCTGCCAATCTGATATTCCTAAAGCATGCCTGACCATGTAACTCACACATCCTACAGTCCTGTCAGAGCCACCTTCTCAGCATTTCCCTTCTCCCATGCCTTTGCACTGGCCATCCCTCAAGCCTAGAACACCCTCCTTTCCTCACTACTTCTGCCTCTGAATTACAATCACCAGCTTTCCTTCACTATCCCCTCACACAGAGACCTCTTGCCTTCCTCCTTCAGAACCACTCTAGTGCCACAGACTGCCTCCTACAAATTACTGTGTATTCACTTCTTACATTTACATGTTTCTCCTAACAGAATATAACCCCTGAGTGAAGGAATGCTTTCTTGTGTTCACTTTGAATACACAGTGCCTGGGACACATAAACACTTGTTCATTGATGTAGTTAATTCATACGGGGGCCGCCAGGTGGCGTAGTGGATAGAGTGCCAGACCTGGAGACAGCAAAACTCTTCCTCCTGAGTTCAAATTTAGCCTCAAACACTTCCTAGCCGTGTGACCCTGGGCAAGTCATTTCACCCTGTTTGCCTCCATTTCCCAATCTATAAAATGAGCTGGAGAAGGAAATGGTAAACCACTCCAGTATCTTTGCTGAGAAAACCCCAAACGGGGTCACAAAGAGTTGGACACGACTGAAAAAACAACTCAACAACAAACAAAATTCAAATGGACTCAAATTTTACTTTTTATTCACCAAACGTATTCCCAATAATGACATTAGCTCTTATTATTTTTCACAAAGCGAGTCTCATTTTAACTCAAACGTCTCAATAATAAAGAAACAAACATGTCCCTACTTGACAAATGTAAACGATTTTTGCCTTGGTTAAAAAAAAGCAAGAATGTAAGCCAGTTGAGGTCAGGGAGTCCCTTCTTTGTTGGTTCTTTGTATCTGCATCCCCAGTGCTTAGCACGGCGCTTGTGCTACTAAGTACGCAAGTTATATAATAAACGCTTTATCCAATAGAAAAATAAAAAAGCATTTAACATAAAAAACAGTCAACTGGGGCAGAGGAAAATCCCGTTTTCTAACTACCTGTCTCATATTTTCTTTCCACTCCCTCAAGTCTTTTCTTGGGGAACAATTTACAACATGATTTAAACCGAAAAAATATATGAGGCACAACAGTTAAGAAAGAATATGCGGTCGTAATTTTAAGAAAGAACTGATCCCACCTCCATCAATCTCTTTCCAATTTGTCCCATCCTCTCCCTTCCCAACGTCCTCATTACCACTCATCTGGACTATGACTAGCAACTTCCTTGCTTTCTGGCATTCCCCATTCCAATCCAACCTCTGTGCCGCTGGCAAAGTAAGGTTCCCAAAACATTCTTATGACAAAGGCATCATTTTATTATTTCACATAATTTGAAGCCTTGACCTTAAGTTTTATTGCATGGCTTTTTGTTTATTTTTTTTTAAATCGTAACTGTAAACGGCAGGAGTTCCACCTACGCAGGCCAAGTCTGACGCTGCTGTCCAGCTCAAGTAAAATATACTCATGGGTTAAGTAGACTCCAATGCAGGAAACAAGTTTCTAAGAAAGGCAAGTTGGGGGATCCCCCAAGGACTGAAGAAAATCTTGTGGCCTGAGGAAAGTTTCATTTTTTCCAGGGGATTTTTTTTGGGGTGGAGGAAAGACAGAGCAAGGGAAGAAATGAACCTGAGAAGGAAGGCAATGAAGACCACTCAGTCCCCTGTGCACTCTAACCAAAACACCCAATTTCAGATTGGGAAATTTTCCTATAGGCACATATAACTTCATAATGAAATGCTATTCAAAAATAAAATTTACTTTCCTGGAATGAATCTAATCCCATAAACAACACCTTTTAACCTCCGAGGAGGCACAAAACAAACTGAATCTCTTTACTTCTCTACATGGGTTTTTGTTGTTTTGAGTGGCAGTCAAATCAAAAGCTTTTGTCACAATTGTACGCTCAGGACAGTATAACTCATGAGATGACTCACGCTAGCACAGCCATATCCAGCTGAGATATTTTCATCAAATTCACAACCTGTTATTATACTTCCTGATTTTTTTCTTGTAACCTATGCACTCCTCAAACTTAAACTGTGTGTATGCCATTTTTTCATCTCTCTTCAGTTTGACTTAGAACCCTATCATGTTCAAGTTGGAAGGAATACTGCAGATTATTTAGTCTGAGAATCAGTCACCTTTTAAGGAAGAAGAGCCATAGCAGAGTCTGATGGCAGCTGCCGACTGGCACATCCATTAGAAAGGACAGTCAGGCAACCCAGAGCAGCCATGCTAGGGACCTCACTGCAACCTCACCTGGACTAGCTCATACACACTAAAAGAATACAATACAGTCTAAAATAACATGGATTTCATATAATAATTTATTCATAATTATTTACCTTTCAATAATTACTTATTTCAATGAAAATAATCTCATTTAAGTATGTTACACTGAATATTTCTAAAGAAAATATGAAATGAAGAAACAGACTATTTCTATTTCTATTAATCTGACTTCAATGCTTGCATTGCCTTGGGAGATGCTCAAAGTAAACGTGTCAAGACTGATAGCTGGCTTCTCAAAGTCACACTTTATATCAGAAAACTGCTGTTCACAGCAGTAAGACTACAGCAAAAATTAAGCTGGAATCTGCTTATTTTTCGACTGACCACAGATTTCTAGTAAACAATCTTTTTTTTTTTGAACCACTATGAAGGTGTTTCTCTAACAGCTGTGAATGTTTCCCCTCACTTACAATTTCCCAAAATGGAGTCAGTCCAGCTGCCCTTCTGTGATTTCATCCAACTGGCCAGAGGATGCTTTTGGCTGCACTCTGCCTCTCCTCCCCTGGATTTTTGCAGGGCTTCTCAGTCTGATATTTCATACCCTCACACTCTTGGCACAAAATGTCATTCTATAATTTCTTATTTTATTGTTCATTTCCTCATATAAATGAGACCCAGCAGGAGTGCAGCCAAACTTGATATCAGTGCGTAAGATTCAACTCATTTGGTACGAAACTTGGGGAATTCATTGTTTTTCCTTTCCTGTTATCATTTCCACCCTTGAAAATATTTCACAACATTGCTGTGGCATCAGGCTGTATAGAATAAACAGTGGGCCAAAATAAAAAAATATCAACAGTGCTAAAACTTCTCAACCCAACAAGCCAAGGCCAGCTGAGGCTAAGCAGGAGGGCCCCTGCTCCAGGCA